ACTGTAAGCAGTGTCAGTGAATAACTGATATCGATGTGACAGTTACACCTTCAGTGATATCCAGCGCTACGGGATATTTGCCTTCATCAGCGTCAATGCGAGCTTCCGCTGCCGTCCCCAGTGTAGGTTCTGATGTAGAGCGCCGTTACCAATTAGTTGGCAATATCAGCATTATTAATGAATAATAATTTACCACTCGACAATAACTTGATATCATTGTTGCAGAGGACATAATTGTAGCCGCTAATTGAAAAAGCACTTTGATTGTATTTCTAATTATCAAACTCAATTTAATTATGGTAAATAAATTTATAATTATAAAAAGGTTATTAAAAGTCTCTTCGTATACGCTTTATACTTTTAAGTGTACTTTATTTCATAATTACTCTATTAAAATTTCTTCATATATTAATAATTCGTTCGCCGGTTTGCTTTCAGGCAGAAGACTTTGGTAGTTACAAGTGCATCGCCAAGAATCCACGTGGAGAAACCGACGGAACGATTCGCCTGTATAGTAAGTATCTCATTTTGCTTCTCTCTCTCTCTCTCTACGCCCCGAGCCATCCCGCAGTACCGTTTACTAAGGTAATGACGGTTCGTCGCGAGCTGTTTGGCGCGTTTATGTCGTGCTGTCATTCCCCGGTTGTTTACGAAGTCGGTGAAGACGGTCGGCTCTCAACGAACTACGTAATTTCTACGACACACCCGTCGACGGATATACCGTGGTTTCTTCGGGCAACACGCTGGGCGCACACGGTTTGACACGGTTAACTCGCGCGGTGAACGCACGCGCGTGACGATCTTCCTCTTAGACAAATATACCTACGTTAATTACCTCGGCCTAATATTTGCCAACAGATCGCGATTCGTGGTGGCACTTTCCTCGAATTAAATCGCAACATAGTTGGCTACAGTTTAACGCGGCTGTGTAGATACAGACGGTTCTAATGTCGTTTTTATATGATTAATTTTCAATATTACTCGCGCGTAGAATAATTTTTTAACGCGACGGTTCAAATATGTAGCGTATCTAGCGTGTTGAAAAAATTTTTTTTTTTAAATTTACACTGCATTTTTTTGAGTCGTCAGTATCCTCGCATTACACGTATTTTCAGCATGTGCGAAATAAGAGAGAATAAAATGCGTATAATCCAACATAGAGAATTTTATCTATTTTTAATAATGATGATGCACGCTAGAAATATGAATGAAATATGATCGAAGAATGCACGTATGTGCTTCATGAGGAAAAAAAAGTATAAATCGGAACATAAAAAACAAACAGAATCGGTCAATCGACGGCGCTTACGAAAACGAACGCGGAGAGGAGATCACTCCATTAGTATGGATCGGTTTTTCGCATTAGCGACATTCAAATGAAGTGAGCGTTTAGCATAAAAGACTACCAACAAGAGAGGAGGTGGCGAAGGGTAAATCTGTCTGGTTCGATAGAAAATAAAGAGAAAAATGATTGTTCGATAAATGCAATATTTTCTGTTTCGCTGTCAACTCCAGAGCTCACGGATCTCCGTGCATAAATATTTAACAAACTAGAAAATTCTTGGGTATCTGGTTTATTTACGTAAGAAAAATTGCACGAGAAATTGATATTTTCGTAGAAATAAAACTTGCATTACACACAATGCGCTTGAAAATTATTTGTAAACTATATTTATAAAAATATCTCCTTTCTCATAATTAAAAAGTTTTTTTATCTTGAGTTTATAATTGATATTTCTTTCGAGCCGAGTTGGGTGGCAATTAGCGTCGTGCGTGTCGTCCGTATCGCGGCGCAGGCAGAATAAAAATCGTTCAAAGTGCCCGTTCGACTGTGCACGCGAATGATATTTTTCTGAAAGAACCATTTTTTTTTATCACACGCCTCAACGGCGCTCAAGTTAACTGTTATCACAACGAACACGGTAAATTATTGAGAAAAGCATTTTCGCGACGAAATCCTATATTCCGACCGGGCGATTCGTTGGGCTATTGGTCTGGCGCTAATACTGAATTATTGGTATTCCCAAAAGGGATGCAGGATTAACTGCGCGCTAAGAGTCATGCTCCATAATCAAATGCGCTGCGGAGTTGTATACGAGCGTCGCTATAATCCTGTTCCGAGACGCATAATCGCTAATTATTGCAAACGTTTAAGAGTCGACTTATGTATATTTGTCATTAATGTATCGTAATACATATGCATAATGTATGTACGATTTGTGCAATCGGTATAATTTCTGCGATTTTTGCGAACACGCTTATCGCTTGCATCGCTCGTCGGTGTGCAGCGATGCTCGCATAACAATGAGATTGCGAAAACGCGAAGGGAATGCAATAAAATATTCTTAATCATAGAATCTCGATGGAATCTTTCATAAGCCAGGACCGCGTGTGTAAAATTATGCCGGCTGTCCGACGGAAATTAATATTCTCATATCGCGCGGCGGGAAATAAACAACAACAAATAAGGGAGAGGTGCGCGCACTTTTCCGTCCATTTAAAGTCATCGATTTCGAATCGACTGCGACCATTCCATTGTTCCGTCTCTGAGAGCGAGAGGATGAGGGAATACGAGGAAAAAGCCGGACTAGAAAGGAATTCGAATTTCTCCGGGCTTCTCCAAAGGAGAAATAACTTCGAAGAGGTCCAACGGAGGCTGGGCAGGGATGTACGACGGTCCGGAAAAGAGAAGCAAACAAACCCACTTCGGTACAGTCACTCAACAAGCATCGGAGGTTACGAAACCCCATCGGCAAGGAGGAGGAGCGAGGAAGGTCGCGCGACCGGGTTGAAATTAAGTGGCGGCAGTTAGAGATACGTCGGACGAGTTTTATTAAGCGGCATAAAAAAAGAGATTTGTGAACTGACTGAAGGAGACGGGCGGGACACCTCCTACGCGGCGTCGTCGTCCCGCGAAACGCGGACGATTCCGGTTGCGGCGAGCTCGTCTGGCGGCAGTAAAGAATAGGGGAGACAGGCGGTGGGGCCGAGATATGAATTTATTATTAAGGACCGCCTGAGGGGCAAAGTACCCCTGTTTCTTGATATCCAAGCGTGTCTCGCGCCCGCGTCTTACCTCGAGAGCCTTTTTTTCCATCGCGTCGCGTGCTCCTCTCCCCTGCGAAACCCCGTCTCTATTTTCGCCCGTCCCGCACCCCCCGTAGAGAAGCTCGAATTCCTTGGCTAATTTATTCCGTAGTCGAGTCAAACTGCTATTTGTAGCGGCGTTGAAGCGCGGACTTAGTGCGCGAAGAGTGACGAAAGGAAGAACGAAGGCGAAACTTACGACGCTCCCGGATAGTAACAATATCGTATTCATTCGGCTGCTCGTCTCCACCTCCCCCCCCCCCCGCATCGTATACATAATGCAACGTCCAACCTTGCCGCGTCGCGCGCCGATTCAACCACTCTGTGTCGTCGCTAAGACGCGGATTTAATAAACGGCCGTTACGCGGGCGCTTTGTCGGCCTTTATAATATCATTTTTCGCTCCCTTAATTCGGACATGCTTGCTTATGCATAGAGTATTATCTTTTTATGCGCGGTCTGTCGGGAAAAGCATGTGGTATAAATGTACCGCCGCAATTTTTTTTACTTTTTTATACTCGTAACTTACTTTCCAGCGATTACAAACTGTATTTAAATAATTAGTTATTACTCTTTACGAGTTTCTCAAAATTACCGAGCGCGCCGGTAAAAAGTGTATCAAATTTTGTTCATCCTGCTCAAAGCCATTTAGGCTTCTTATTTGTACATAAATCATTATAATTGTTGTTATTTTTACAAACTGCATTGTTTTAGCGATTGATTTGTTACAATCTTTAAATTCTCAACGTCTGCAATTGTAATTCGCAGGGCAATTACAACGTGACTCACGACGATAAAAATTCTTTAATACTTAACAAGCTCTTGATGAAATTCTCGCAAACGGAAAACTTCCCGTTGTCTCAAATTCCTCCCGCAAATCTATACTGAGTTGTCGGACTTTGAAAACTTTCGCGGTCGCGGTATCGTGGCTCGCAAAGTTCCATGAGCTCTTTTCATTTGTGGATTTGAGAATTTCACTAACGAATTCTTCAACGCGTAAGATGCAAACGAAATCGCAGCCGGGCGTGACTTTGATAAATTTGTTGTAAAACTCTTTTCACACATGCAACCCGAACCATCCGGTAACACAACGACACTTAGCACAATTTTGCTCGCTAGAAGGAAGGAACTTACAAGGAGGAACGAATTTCGCCGAAAATCTCATTTAGATTTGGAAACGTTGCTGGGGAAGCATTTTCTCGCTGATATTCACGGAGAGATATTCCGCGAAGTTATATTCTTAACTTATCCGAAGTGCTGTGAAGAAATATTCATTCTCATTTTTTTTTCCAGCCATATTAGCATTCGAGATCTCTCGAGTAATTTTTGCACGATTATTGCGAATATTGCAGATTACGAAACACAAATATGTTCCGTTTGCTCTTTCGACACTAGCGGCGTAAATGTACGCCGTCTGATAAAGTTTGTTGCGGCCGCAGAGCACACATACACATGTACACACACGCCACCCTAATCTATGGATTCGACGCGTCAGCTGGCAACAACTGTTTCGTATTTTTATATCGCCGTAACTCCGGAAAAAGTTAATGTTATTTTTGGCAAGTAATCGATGATAATTCCAAAAGAGTTCATTTTATTTTTGCAATTAATGATATCTCGCAAATTAATTATCTGATATCAATAATCTTAAGTTTATCAGAAGTGCTAGAATCTCAGTCTTCTCAAACGAAACTTTCAATCCACTTCGATTTATTTGCACAAACATATTGATGTTTACATCGGCTCGTGACGATCCTAAGTGATCCTGATCTAAGACGGAGCCGTCAGAGCAATCGCGTGACTTACTACTATTGATCTCTGCTGATCAGTTGGTTACAGTAGCATGATAATTACGTAATTGCTTACGCGCGCTACATTATACACATGCGCGCCTCGTTCATCATTTATAAGTGGCACGCATATGCCAGATTATCGAAACGTAATAACTCGCAAAAAATTGATTGCATGAAACGATGAAAAGAGATTCATCTGACAATTATAGAATATTTATTTATTCGTAAATAATATTTCATTCACGAAGCGTAATCAACATTCGATGTTGATCGATGATAATTGTTTCGTGCTATTATATTTCCATTGAAAGAGTATTTAAAAAAAAAATTTTTTTTGTTTCATTGCGTAAGTTATAAATGCTATCGTAATTAAGCATTTTTTTAAAGCCGTTTCAGCGAAATGAAGATTGTTCACGTTATTGCAGCAAAAGCGATAAGTAACAATAGCGCGGGCGAGTACGCAGTATAAATTCACGGGTGACTGCAATTCTGCAGGATTTAACCTGCAGTATAATTTACAGTAGAAATCGCGTGAGACTTCCCGTTCGAGGAATTTGCCAATGAATTCTTTATTTCGGAAGGCGAGCGAACATAACTACTTGCACGGTAGCGAACACTTTTAGACGGCGCGATAC